TTAAGCATATTTGCAGAGAAAAAATGAAATAGCATCGAGATCATAGTCACTAACAGGTTTACTTGCCATGAATGTGTATGGATAATGGACTTAATGTGATTTCACTATAATGAAATGGGGTGAAAGAGAGCATGAGATATAGGTTGAGTTATAATGGCATGATTCCGATTGGTTTGCATAAGTAGGGAGTTTTTGAAATTGTGTCGTTACGGTATCCTTGGTATTGATATTTAGTACCTATCGATCTAACATTAGCCTAGCAGCCACGTATGATTAGAGTCTCATCATGTTTTTGTTTCGAACTATGCTTATTTCTTTTTACCGTGTTGGTTGGTTGCTTGAGGACAAGCAATGGTTTAAGTGTGGGGGTGTTTGATAACGCGAAATCATATCGTTTATTTGGCTTGATTTACATGCATTTATTTGTGACTATTATTAATTTATCTTGATTTATGTTCTATTATATGATTAATTTACTTCGTTTTGCAGATTGGGGAGAATTTGGATTAAAGAAAGAAAAGAAGAAGAAATGGAAGGAAAAGAGAGAAGAAAAACAGAAAAAATGGATTTTGCTGATATGACGGTCGTCACAGGTCCATTACGACCGTCATGCGTATGACGACCATCACGTTCCATTACGAGCGTCACGCAGACGAAATATCATTTAACGTTCAAATCAGTTTTTTTTGCCACGATCACTCTCTCTAAGATTTCTTCCTACACTTTCTCCACTCACTGCCCACTACTGGAAGTTACTCCCATTCCCTCCATAACTCACCCATGATCTCTGGAAGTTGAAGAAGGAATTATCTCCTATAAATAGGCCTTAGATTCACAGTTTAGGGGAGGGGGGGCTTCGAGGTATCGAAGTGCTGCCAAGATTTCTACTGAAGCTATTTCTCCCAGTTTTATTGTTTTCTTTTATTTCATTTCCATTTTCCTTTAGTTCAGAACATTGTATTTTCTTCCTGTACCTTTTAATTCTCGCCAAAGTAGAATCCTGCCGATATTGTGGAGGACTACTCAAAGATTCGAGATCAGTACGATTTACAGGTTCTTATTAATTGAATTATTACTTTATTTTCTGTCATAATGTATGTTTTATTATTTTGCTGTTTATATTTATTCCTGTTGGCATCAATTATCATGTCTAGATAAATTAGTTTTATCGGTATATAACTGAATTAGTAGGACAGGACTCGATAGTAACCGACACCTTCCCTTTTTACAAACAACCTTTCTGGCCGTAGTTTTTAATCTTAATTTCTAAATAAACCTTCGTCGCGACAGCGAGAAATTATTTACAGTAGTTTCACCACGACAGTGGGAAATTCATTAAGGCACGAATCGGCACGCGAAAGCTGGGATTCAAACCAGATAGTAAAAACTAGGCATTGATTTTAAACACAGCGAAAGCGCTTTAAAAGAAATCAGAATCTATTTGTTTTCAAAAAGTAGTTTTAACCCCGAATGGGACTGCGAGAACGTACACTCCGCCTTAGAATTATGACCCGAGTCAACAACCATCGTGAGGCAGAGGTCTTTAAACGAGTATTTTCTCCTGAAAAGTGTTTGCAAAGAGTAAAAAGCACTGGCGACCTGTCGAATCCCCGATAACTAATTCCTTGCATACCGATATCCCTTTACCTCTTTTTCTTTAAACCAATTATCTTTATTTCCTTTACATTTAATTTCATTCGCATTCAGCTTTCCTAATTCCATTAGCCTTAGCTTTACGCCGTAATAATAGATAACGGTAGATTGACATTGGTCTCTGTGGGTTCGACAATCTTTTATATTACTTCGATATTTCCGTGCACTTGCGGACACATCACAAACTTGCACACGTGGCCACTCGAATCATAAGGCACTTGATTATTGAACCAAAACCCTAATTGAGACAATGTTTGATCACCTGAGGATTGCCAACACCAAACACTTGAGTTCTATTCACACTTATCTTCAAAATGATCCATAACTTGCAGTGACTTGTAAATGAAGCAATGATCTTGAGTTTGACCAAGTTTAGGTCAAACGTTTCCTCGAATTCATCCATGAATGAATGGCAATTGAAGAAATATCAACACACTTCATTTGAGTTCTTGAACAATCCACGATTCACCCTTGCAAAACCCTAAAGCTTAAACAAAAATAAATGAAAGCAATTGCAACATATTTTTGTATTTTTGAATGCAAAATGGTTAGATAAAATGAATAATACACAATGATGAAATAAGAATGCAACAAACCTAATTACAAATGCAACAATCCCAATATCAATGCATCAGGACAAAGGGACGCACAAGAGACCTTGGAGAGAACCTTTAGGAAAGCAATCAGAGAAGTCCTTAATCAAACTTATGAATCACCCTGCTTTTAATCAATGATCAAATTTTGCTAATGAAAAAGATATGCTAATGATATGATGCACAAATGATGAAAAAGCTAGGGTAAAAATGAGGGTGTGACAGTTGCCCCTATTTAAATATCTTCAACCAGATGACATGAGAGATGTTAATTGTCATGTTATCACGATGGGAGATGTTTAATATTAAAGAAATCATAAATTTGTTAGTGCTGAGATTCAAAACCACGAACTTTATGGAATTTCACCAGGGTTGCTTTATCCAAGTGTGGTAATATGTAAACTATATTTATTTAAATAAATAAATAAAATTAATGGCGCTTGACTTTAGAGATGTCACTACGGTCATTCAATGAACCTTGGTAAAATGAATGTCGTAGTATATACTTTTTGTATTAGTTCTTGGTTCGTGAAGATGAGCGAGTAAAAATCTCCACAACTATTCTTAAGCTCACCCCGGTTAGAAGCTCTATCGGATGAAGATTAAAATCTCACTCTCAATCGAGATTAGAGCTCGGCGAGTGAAAATATCACTCTCAATCACAACGTTATATGATATTAAACAGCAACAACAACAACAAAAACACAATAACATTCAACATTAAAACTTTAGGGTTTAGGGTCTCAAGAACAACAACAACATTAATGTAAAATGAATAATGGTGAAATGTTTCATGTATCATTAAAAGGAAGAAGAAGAGTCAAAGAAATGAGTTTTGTGATTCCTTCTTGTGAGTTTTGGCTTTCCTTTCCTTGATTCGTACCCGAAATGATGAAGGCTAATGAAGAAATGATTTTAGTGAAGATAAATTTTTGATAGGGAGTTATTATGTTTTGAAGTGTTTTTGCTAAGGTGTTATTCTATTATGAGGGAAATAAAATTCAACTTTATTTTATTAAAAAAGTTAATTTTCACCACGGTTACTATTAACAACTGTAGTGATAACGTAACACATTTCATGAGGTTATTTTTATCAATCGTGAAAAAATGTTCTATAGATTTGTCTATATAAATTCTCAATACATTCATTCACCTTTTTACTAAATCTAAAATAATATATTTAAAAAAATGGTTTGAATATTAATATCAAGTTTTACTTTATGAAGTAAATGATATTCTTGAGCCTTAACATTGACCTTCAACGTCAAAAATTTTAAGATAGTAAAAATGAATGAAAATATTACAACATAAAAGTCCCTTATAAGTAAATGAAAAACTAAATTGTATGCACTGGGACTCGAAGCATGTCTCTGAGAGGGACATTTCTCTACGATTGAAAAATCTGACCGTAGTAAAATGTATCTTGAAAGTAAAAAATATGACTAAATGAATAAATTTTATCACAATAGACAATATGGTCGAGGTGAAATTACGTTGATCATCATAACAAGAATTATTAGTTATGTAGTTATAGGTGACATAAACTCTTAATAGTTTATTGTCCATTTAGACCTCTAGTTGATGAATTTTGTTGGCCGATACTATTCACGGTTATTTATAATTATATTCAAAATAAAAAAAGTGACCACTATAAATCAAGCAATGAGTTTTTTTTTTTTTTTATTTAATTTTAAAGGTTTATTTTATTTTTAGTTTTGTTTTATTTATCAAATCAATGTTGCCTAAGTGGGTGAATGAAAGGAAAAAATGTTTAATTGCAACCTTAATCTCTCTATTTTAAATTTTGAGTTTAATTTTAATCCTATATATTTTAAGACCTATTTTTAATGATGTGACACATTCAAAGATTACGTGGCAATGCTATATCATTTAAAAATTCATCCTATTTATTTTTTAATTTGATATATATTTAATATATTTTGATTTTATTTTCAAAAATAATAATTTAATATTAGTCTTATAAAAGTCTAACATTTCTTTGAATCAATTCATTGCCTCTTTTCTAGTATTGTTGCGCAACTTTGATTGTCTTTCCCTATAAATCTTATATCTCGGGACACATGAAATTTTTTTTTTTGAAAAAGAAGAGAATTAGGATCATATACTAATAATTATTGATATTTAAAATCATTTGAGAGCACACATATGAATAATTAATGACTTCAAAAGGTAGTTCTAAACCCTCTTCATAATATTCATATGACATCCTAATTATGCAACTTTGATCAATTTAATGTTTATGACAATATCATAAATTTTTAACCATCTTTTATTTCTAAAACAAATCCTTTCAATTTTAAACTAGTCAATACTTGTGCCTATTTTTCACTTAATATTTTAAGGGAAACACACATTTACAAAATTATAAACAATTTACACAATTAATTTGAAATCAGACAATTCAGATTACTCAAAAATAAAAATAAGATAAAATTTACGCGATTTTAACTATTATTTTAAAATCAGACAATAATGATTAAAAACTATTGACAGAAATAACTCAAAATTGTGACTTAAAGAACAAAAACAAAACAAAGTAAAATTTCATAACATTAGTTTTAGCCTCATCGTAACTATTTTTTCCTCCACATTTATTTAGTTCTAAGCATAGTCTAAAATATATTTCATCAAACTCTGACACATACAGTAACCATATTATGGTTTACAAGGTTTCATATGATAAACAACGATCTTAGCCCATACATAATGCATTATTTAACCCAATAAAGCTCACTAGGCCTTATACATGAAAGGTTTGTATTTTCCAACGGCTTCACCCAACCCATGAATAGCTCCAGTTGCTGCAGCCAATGACACAATAAAACAGAAACAACTCAATGATTGAAGCCCAATCCAACGAATTGTTCCTTTTTTGATATTTTGTTTGACAATATACATTTCCACAGGAAAATAAACAACTGAAGGCCAAAATCCAACAGCACCAAGAAGAGCAATCATCGCATTGAAAAATGGCATTGCCATGGCTAAAACAGTTACCACTATTATAAATATTGTCCTCCAAAGTAATCTAAAGTAATTGATTGTGTAGTTTATTTTCCCAAAATTCATAGGAATCTCCCTTGTTACAAAACTTGAGTTTGGCCATTTTTCCGCAGCAATCATTTCAACTATACGGAACACGGGTTGGACTAGTACCTAACAATAACCATCATTTCAGAATCAGGGTCAGTAACTATTACACCGTCACCTCTGAAAAAATACATGTTTATATTAGTGTCAGACACTGAACCACAGTGTATGTCTATGTTCGTGCTTCATAAATTATTGCAGTGTAAGGTGAAGATGAAAAACAAAGATACTAAACAGTTGACACAGTTGAAGTAATGTATAACCTGAAATGCTCCAATAAGGTGGACAACTATGAAGGCATTGGCCAATTCTAATAACCAGAAAGGTTTGCGAAAGCCGGAACTATTTAGTATGTTACCAGGAGTGTTTGAACCAAAAGCAGCATATCCAGCACATGCATTCAAGATAAAGAAAATAGTCATAGTGAATATCGCAAGCGTGTTTGCTCTTTTCATTGTTTTGTTTTCTGGAGGTGATGATTTCAGACTATCTTGTATATCTACTGCAATTTGAGCGTAAGCACCTGCAAGTGCAATGTCTCCGATTGCAACCAACATATTCCATGCTATGTCTGATGTACTGCGATTCTCGTCGCTTCCTGCGAATGCCATCGTGCTCTTTACGTTCCCATTTCCTAATCAAATAGAAAAAAAATGCCTTCAGTAATAAAACTAACTAACTAATAACTACCTATAACAAATATAACAACCAACTCCAACAACATCCAACTGGAGGAATGAATGAAAGTAATTATGTAACAAACCTTGGATAACGGTGGAAAGAGAAAGTCCAACTCCAATGGAAGCATAGCCAAAAGCCATGGTAGCTGCTAAGACTGAGAGAATAGATAGCTTGTGAAAATTTGGAATTTGAGATAATATTATTTCAATTACTCCAATAATAATCATGTATGGGTTATTCGAAAAACGACAGGAAGCTTCAAATCCATTCTTGCGGTAGCAATTGTTTTTCAATATCGTCCTGAAAAATATTTACATTTACGTGCAATAAACATTAGCAAGATAACAATGAAGAACTAATATTAGAAAATAGTAAAAGAACATACACTATACTAGTAGAGGTAGTAATGATGAAACCAATAGTGAAACCAGCAAGGTTAATGTACTGAACCAAACCACAAAAGACATGCTGTTTGCCACCTAAGTGAACTTTGACAGCTTCCATGTAAGTGGTGTTTCTTTTCCCAGTAACAGAATCTGGTGATCTATAACAATCAGCTAGAAGATTTGATGTGTAGAGGGTAACACCAGAAAACACAAAAATGCAGGATATTCCAAGGGCCCATCCCATTTGGGACATGGCCCATGGTAAGGAGAGGACTCCAGTTCCAATAACTGCGTTTATGATATGTGCGCTTGCAGTCCACACCGTTCCTGCAAATGACGCTCATTTTAAGTTTTTTCTGAAATAAAATAAAATAAAAATAGTATCTTGAATTCAGGAATCAGGCACGTATCTACATACTAAAAATTGGGGGCAACTGACCCCACATATTTAATTTTATTTTAAGTATTAATGAGATACCTTGATGTTTGTTATTTTTAAAGTATTTTACACTGAAGTAATTTTACCCAACTCTGGATAGATAAAAATTCACCTTAAATTAAATATATTGATGCCCCACTATATAGTGCTATAAATGAGACGCACTATTCAGTCCATACATTATTATTATTTTTGTGTATAGTACAAACTAAAAATTAGTTTAAATTATAGTTTTAGTTTATTTGTTTGAATTAATTCGTGAAATTGGTTTTGTTATTTTAAATTTAAATAGTTGTCATCTTTTATTATGTTTTTATATTTAAGATTCATAATGTCTCCATATTTAAAAGATGTGTTGTTTGTGAAACATAACAAACTATTATATTTTTTGTAAAGATTTTTAGATAAAAATGTAATATAAAAAATAAATATTTTATCAATTATTAATGCAGATAAGTAATAAAGAAACAAAAATTATTTAAATTCTAAATATGAGGACTAATTTAATGAAATAGATAAAATAGAGAGATCAAAACTATAACTAAAATTTATATATATATATATATATATATATATATATATATATATATATATATATATATATATATATATATATATATATATATATATATATATATATATATATATATATATATATATATATATATATATATATATATATATATATATATATATATATATATATATATATATATATATATAATCGCGCGCGTGCGTGTGTGTGAGAATTAAATATTAATTTATGAAAAAAACTTATAAAGTAGAGAGATAAATTTTATTATATTTTATATTTTAATAATGTTATAGGTTAATAAGTTATAAAAAAAATATGTGATTAATAATTTATATTTTTGTGGTTAATACAATAATAAATTTTATATTTGTGTTATAAAATAATTTTAAAAATAAAATTATTTTTTATAAATATTTTTTATTTATTTATAAGAGAAATAAAAACATCGTATTTATGGTAAATATTGTTTGGCGTAAATATTTGACGTAAAAATTAGTATAATAGTGAATTTTTTTTAGTAGCAATGTTATATAATTTAATTACCAAATAAAACAAGCTTTTAAAAAAATTAACAAAATGACAAATTTTTTTTTAGGGTTTCCAATTTTTTTTCGTTTTTCTTGTTTTTTTTATCATATATTTAAAGTTTTAAAAATTTATTTGTTTTTTGATTTTAATATCATTATTATTAGTAACTATAAAATATATTAATTTATAATATAAATAATATTAATATAATTAAAATATTATTATTAGTAACTATAAAATATATTAATTTATAATATAAATAATGATTGAATGGAAGGATAATTTTTTTTTTTAATAATTAATTTAAGATTTATTGAGTCTTCTTCTCATTCACCACAACTTACTAATGAAACTGATCACACAATGTCATCCATGAATCATACAAAGACCGAAATTTAATTTGTATTTTTTTTCTTGTTGACTTGGTTGTAAGTTAGATTGTTTATTTTTTTTAATTTAGTTGGACAAATAATTATTACTAACTTGGTCGTAAGAGTCATTTTTAATAACGTGACTCTAGCAATACTTGTTACTAACTTTATAACCGTTTTTAGTAATTGGTTGTTCTATGTAATTGAATTTATCTTATTTAAATTTAAAACATTTTAAATTAAATTTTAATTTTTAAATTTTGGTTATTTTAATATTTAAAATTTATAATGTTTTAAAATTTTATTTAAACTATAAAATTATTGATTATGTACTTGAAAAACATTATAAGTTTTCATTTTTGTTTTATTTTAAATTTATTATTAAAATAACTATAACATAAATTTAATATTTTTATATTTAAAAATTTATTAAAACTAAAATTTGTGATTTATTTATGGTTATTTTATGCGGATTTATTTGAGGATCTTTTTGCCAAATATATTACTCATTATAGTTTTAGTTGGTAATCAAAAAGTCAGAAAAAACCATTTTATGCACAGATATAGTTAAAATATAGAAAAAGGTTGTCCTAATGATTTTGATTATCTATTTTGATTGTATTCTAAAATTATTTTAATAGATTTCAGTTTCTAGTTTTTGTTAAAATATTGTACTTTTTAAAGTAAGGGGTGTGTTTCATAAAAAAAAAGAAAAAGATGTTACTTATTATTTTCTATGTATTAGACTTATTAATATAATGTAAATAATATGCTAAAGTTAATATTTTTAGTATTTTCTAAACAAATTATCAAGTGTGTTACAATGACATTATAACATTTAAAATTTAAATAATTGTGAAATTCATATCATACTATTAACAATTTAAAAATTAAGCATTTATAAATTTCAATCCACAAAAATGATAGAGTTATTTAGAGAATCAAAAGTATATCTAATTAAATTAATAAGTCCGGTGTTAAATTGCTCTCTAATAGTACTAAAAAAAATTTCAACAACTTCACCCATGATCTTTCCATGCCAAACTGTTGAACATAAGATTTACCTTTCAACCATGAATTCGAATGTTGAATATGCTATTCACCTTTCAACGGTGAATTAGAATGTTGAACATGAGATTCACCTTTCAACATTTATGAAATATCATGTTGAACATAAATATAATCTTTCAATGATTATTATAAACTTTGGAACGATGCCAAATTTTAATTTTTTATTAAAAGTTTTTCGTAAGTTACAATATGGATATTTGGGTCTTAAATTTTTTTGATACTTAAGATAAATAATATTTCTTTCAATTTGTAATGAATGGAATTATGTATCATCTTTACCTATAAGACACACTTTATCTATCATTTTTGTGGATTGAAATTTGTAAATGCTCAGTTTTTAAATTGTTAATAGTATGATGTGAATTTCACGATTATTTAAATTTTAAATATTATAGTGTCATTGTAACACACTAAATAATTTGTTTAGAAATTAAATACTAAAAATATTAACTTTAGCATATTATTTACATTATATTAATAAGTCTAATACATAGAAAATAATAAATAACAAATAAATTAATATATTTTATAGTTACTAATAATAATTATATTTACATTATAAATTAATATATTTTATAGTTATTAATAATAATATTTTAATTATATTAATATTATTTATATTATAAATTAAAATATTTTATAATTACTAATAATAATGATATTAAAATCAAAAAACAAATAAATTTTTAAAACTTTAAATATATGATAGAAAAACAAGAAAAACAAAAAAAAATTGGAAACTCTAAAAATTAGCCACATGCGAATGCTTGCTGGATGAGTTGTCATTTTGATAATTTCTTTAAAAGCTTGTTTTATTTGATAATTAAATTATATAACATTGCTGCTTTAAAAAAAAATTCTATAATAGTAGCATTATTGTAAATAATTTAATTTTCTTTCACTATTAGTGTATAAAATACAGCTGTTAACACACCACAATTATTTATAAAATAAATATATCTAATAATAATCAAACTTTTTACCTATATAAAAATATATTCTTATTGTAAATATAAACAACTCTCTCTATTGAAATGTTTAGTCTGAGAGACAAAACTATAAACAACATTTTCATGAACAAGAACAAAAATTTTAGACCACTAAAATTGTTAAAAGTAGTTGACTATATGGTAATAAAAAATAATAAATTGGTTTAGTGATTACCCTTTTGATTGTTCTTAGAATACTTAGCTGAGTGGTTTTCCTTTTCCCAAATACATCAAAGATTAAAGATAACACCACAACCAAACAAATGTTCGATGAATCAAAAAAGTGCAAATTCATCGCATACAGAAAAAAAGGCAAATTCATGAATCCAAGATTTTTAACTTTTTTTTTTTTTTTCATTTTTAATACTTTTAACTTTTTTTTTCAAAATAAATATTCAAAATGAATTGAATTTTAGGAAAAAAATCATATCAAACTTTAAAAAATCTGATGTATTTACCGATAATTACAAATAAATCGCAAAAAACATACGTTAAAACTCTTCATAAAATTTTACTATTAGTTTAAAATAAATAAAAAATATCACAATTTTATAGATTTGAATCCTGCGATCCTATTTATTAAGTTCTAAAATAATAAAATTTAATTTTAGACTATTTGATATAAAAAAATATATCACAATTTCAAAAACAAAAAGTATGTGTGCAAGATTTAATTACAAAGATTAATAAACATATGCATGGAGAAAACAAGAAAGAGAACCATACCAGTTCTTTTGTGTCTTCCATCGTCATCAAGAAGAGAATTTGGATCATTTGTAACACCAGTTTCAAGTGCCATGATATCGTTCTTCATTTTGAAACCTGCCACAATCTGAAAGCGTTATTATACAGAAGAAAATGAATAAGCAACAATGGAGTAAAAGAAGTATATGTGATGAAGATGGTGAAGAGTGATAGTGTGAGAAAGAAGTAAATGAAACCTTATGTGAAACAATGACGCGTAAGTTTACTTCAGATTCAATATATGGAGACAATGAATACAAAATATTGATGATGCTTTCATTTATGAGTATTTATGGTCTTAGTTATCCTATGTTTAGTCAAAGTGGGGTGGAGTCAAATTATTTATTTATTTTTGCTTTATTTTTAGTATTAAATATCATTTTATGTGTCTTTTTTTAGGAGAATCATTTTATGTGTAGAAGTAGTTTTTAAGGATTTTAAATAAAAAAATATTCTATAAAAAGTTTAATTATTTTAATTTTCAATCCATTAAATCCGGATATTTTTAAGAAAAAATTATTATTTTAAAACTTTAAAGAACGTTTCTAGAATACTCGTTAGCGCGTTTCTTTTAATATTTTTGACAAAAGCATTTTTTTTATTTTTTTTAATCAATTATAATTATGTAAAATAAATAAATAAATAATTTTAAAAAAAATAATATTTAAAATGAATTAATATACAATTTGGTCAAAGTCATTAATATTGATAAATAATTGTAAGAAATTTTTAAAATATTATTTGAAAGCTTGTATTGTTTAATAAAGGATGTGATGTATTTGATTGCTGGAGTTAATTACTCTAATTAGATTTTGTAAGGGTTGGTGTACTCTTACTATACGTTGTTAAGAGTGAAATTTATTGCTTATAAAAAAAGGGATTATATGACTTAGTGGTTATTATGAGAAAATCTATAATTTAAGTGTCGTAACTGATTGTTATGAGTGTAATTAATTATACTTGTGTAATGTTTTAAAAGTCGGATCGATCAACGAATTGGTGAGGATATTGGGTCATTGGTTCATTGGTCGAACCATTAGGCCATTAGTCGAACCACATGACCAAATCGGATAAAATCGGATAACTATGTTAAATAAATTTGTCATTATAACAAAATTATATAGGTATTAAACTGGTCGAACCAGATGAGTTGCTATCTAAAAAAAGTACTAACACCTAAAAAAATTTAAATTATCATAATTTTAAAAGTTTATAATTTAAATTCAAATTTGAGTCAATTATAAATTTGAGTCAAGTAATTGATTTAAGATTTTAATCAAAGTATCAATCTCTAATATAAACTTATGTTTGTTGTCTATCAAACATGCATTACCATTTATTTTATGCAATACCCCAACTCGACTAATAGAAACCAACGATACAATTACATAGGAGAGAAAATAGAGTACGTTCAAATTCTGCAATCTATTAATACTATAATATTGCAATAGCCTCTATTTACTATATTTAACATCATTGTCACCAATTTTTAAAAGAAAGAACATAAACTTTCTCTTATATTTTTTTAATAACGAAAAACAATGTCGTTTTAATTTTTAAAAAAAACATTTAAACCGACAGTTTTTTAAAACCTTTGATTTTCCGATTTTTACCGGTTCTCATCGGTTTAATTATATACCCGATCCAACAATTAAACCTGACTGGTTACCATTTCGGTTCCCGATTCAACAGGTCCAACTGGCCTGTCCGGTCCGATTTTTAAAATTATGCACTTGTGTGAAAAAGCAACATGAAAGTTAAAAAAAGGAAATTCTCATTGGTGTAATCAGTTAGGCATCCCAGTAACCGATTATCACTGTAGCATATTTAGATTTTGTTTCAATTATAATCAATTACATGTTTTGTATAATTGATTACAAGTACGGTATTTTCAATTTTCTATTATTTTTGATGTTGTAAATTGTGTCCCAATCCACTTATGTTTGTATATATACCTTGGATTGGAGGTAATATGAATAAAAACTAATGAATATTCTCACCCTCAATTACTCTCTCTCTCTCTCTCTCTCATTACAATCCTCTCTCTCTCTCTCCACACTCATTCTCTCCTTTGGAATAAGGGATAACAAGGCAACTGGATGAGAGCTAACAAGCTACATCCCTTGGGGAAACTTAACAAAGCCTAAACACACATATGCATTCATTAAAACATGATGAAGATATAAAGTCATGGTAACAACCAAGAAAGATAAGGGCAAGCTGTCGCAACTGCGAAAAACACCCGGCAGAAAACAGAAGACTCGCCACCTTTCGTTATTTATCCCAAAGAGATGGAAAGGAAACGATCGGAAAAATCTAACGAAAAAGGGAAAAGACGAGGTCATCGCAACCAAGTCCTGGATTCGGGAGTCGGTTACGCAAGGGGAAGGTATTAACACCCCTCACGTCCGTCGTACTCGACGGGATCCACGCTTGTTGTCTATCTAAGGGTGTGTTTATCTATCTAAGCTACGGCTCACAGGACGAAAAGAAAAGAAAAGAGACTCGGAAGAGCATCGCCGCTTTGTGCCTACGTATTCCCTCGTGCAATGGGAAAGTCAGAGTCAACGTAGTTCAGCTAACTACGGGCGAAAGGGGGTAAGGTTGCTCGCCAAGACATCGCCGTCTTGTACCTACGCATCCTCGTCTGGTACGAGAAATCAGAGCAAACGTAGTTCGGGCTAACACGAAACCACGGGTTGATTAAGTGTTTTAACCGAGTAGGGTTAAACCTTCGTTCCAGCAGTTAGGGACGATGTCTGTTTGCGGTAGAACCAAAGCTTAACAACACTTTTTTTTCTTCTGAAAATGGTTTTCCGATTAATCCCGAAGGAAAAAGGTTTAAACTTTGTTTTGTGTTTTTTAGTGAAGTGAATTAATTCGGTTTGTGATTCACGTTGCACTAAAGACTATGACCTAGGAGCGAATGCGTCACATATCATCCAAAGGGTGTACACTAAACACTCTAGGCCATTGAGAGGAAGCCCCCCAATCACCATTTTCCAAGTAGCTTAAGGCTCGTAGCACACAACGTTCATCGTATTTATTAAATGAATTAGCATGTTTTGAGATGAGAAGAGAGACGCAAGGAAGGTCTAAGGGAAACTCGGCCCTAACGTTGTCATGCAAAATGGATCTAAAGTTGGGATCAAAAGGGGAAACATCTACCCTAATGTTAGCATACATGGTTTGAATCCTAATGTCTATAACCAACCTTAAACAAGGAAGGTTACCTCCTAGGGGAACATGGCAAAGGAAGACAAAAGGAGAAAACACAACAAAATGCAATATGCAAACATGAAATGAACACTTAGAATGGAGGGAGGGAGGAAAATGTGTGGGGCAGCAGCCACCACAAGCGCATCTCGATCTCAACAGTGATGCAAAAATGATGCAAACATAACGGGAATGCAAAAGACGAAAGCAAACGAACATGAAAAAGATCATCACTTCGAATGACAACACATAAGTTTGCAAAAATGATGCAAACATAACGGGAATGCAAAAGACGAAAGCAAACGAACATGCAAAAGATCATCACTTCGAATGACAACACATAAGTGTGCATCCAAGCGGAAAAGAACACGAATGTCGGAGAAATCTCGATTAAACAACCAGAACAACGACATATATCTCAGAACCTTTCACTTTTAATGCATCATATTGAATTACAATGATTCGAAGTGAAACGGTACTCAAATAAGCAAGCAAAACAGCAAAACAAACTCACTGGCATAGTGTTAATCGGTTAACCCCAGGGGTTAATCGGTTAACACACTGTTAACGTTTAAAAAATTTGAATATTTGAACTGGTTAATCGGTTAACCATATGCGCTAACTGATTAACACTCTGAAAACTTTGAAAAATCTGGAAATCTGTAATGGTTAATCGGTTAACCATATGCGTTAACCGACTAACATTGTGTCAACAGCAGAAAATCAGCAACAGAACAACATGTGCAACAAATAAGCACTTATCAGATCAACCGGATGATCACATAATCACTTAATCACGAAATTAAATTAGCAAATCATGATTCAAACAACATGTAAACAGATCTAAACAGCATCATCAACAATCATGTCAACCAAAATTCAATCGAATATGAAAATCAACATGAACGTGCAAATAAGCTCAAAAATGCTATGGATCTCGAATTCCAACCTTCGAAGCACAGAATTGCTTCGGTTAGTGTTGAATTAACTGAAATTGCACAGATCCGATGCTAGAAGTCCATAATACTTCAAGATCCACACCAATTCTTGTAATAGCAATGGAGATCCTTCAAGATTAATCCAAAATAAGCCAAATAATCACTTCCAAAATCACTTCCAGATCCAGATCCAATTGTGCACGAAAATTGGAGGAAGAAATCACTTCAATGGAGATGATGGATGGAGGTTTGAGCTCAAGAATTCATTGATTCCATGGAAGAATCAAAGAATTCAACGGAAAAGAGCTTTGGTGAGGGTTTTGGACTTGGAGAATTGAGAGAGAATTTGAGAGAATTGAGATGAATTCTGAAAATGAAAGTGAATTGTGAAAGATTAGATGTGTGAGGCTTGGAGTGAATCACTTAAATATCATTTAGGTTTGGATCCAAAGGAAAGGTTTGGAATGTGGTGTGGAAAATTTGGTTTGGCACTAGGAATGGGCATTTGGAGGGAAAATGAAATTAATCAAAACTCAAATATGTTCTAGATCCTTCCCAAAGTGAAAAATTGGAATTCAAATGACCAAAATTGGATCCCAAATGGCTCTGCATTAAAAATTCACGTGCAGAGGCAAAATCTGCATTGGTTAATCGATTAACCATATAGGTTAATCGATTAACACCCTTAAAAATCCCCACTTTGACCTGATTTGACTTGGTTAATCGGTTAACCATATGCGTTAACCGATTAACACCTTCAAAATTTTGAATTTGGCGCCTTTTGGAGGGAAACTTGCCCGTTTGCTCGTTTTTTGCTGTTTTGAACTCTGTTACGCTCCTGAAATTCGTTCTTGAATGCTATAACCATGAGAATGCTTGAAATAGCCTGAATATTGTTTTCTGAGCTGAAAATAAC